CAGAAGAGAACAAGGGGAAATGGTGGAAGCTTGTTTTCGTGAGAATTGGGACTGAGGGAAGGAATGATGAGAAAACTATGGGGATAAAAAAGGAGGAGAGGAGCGAGGGAGGTCCGAAGAGAGAAAGTGAGTGAGGAAAGACAGATCAGGCCCCGGAGAGAATGATGGAGAGTTGGCGGAGGGTGAAGGACACTTATCTCCGCAGAGTGATCTTGGCGGATGGGAGGGAAGGAGAGAACGATGTGTGCACTGAGCAGGAGAAGAGAGAAGGGAGGGACCAGGCCCTTAACTAGGAGTAAAGGATCATTAGCATCAGATGAATGCCCGGGTCCGCACTGCCTGCTAATGCTCTGCCCTTTCCCAAATGCCACGCTAATCTCTCTATTAGTTTAAGCGGCCGCGTGGGCAGTCCTTCAGCGGAGAGCGGTGGTTTTGTGGAAACATCACAGAAAATTGAAAGAGAATGCTAGAATTGCAGCTCTCGCTACCCCCTCCGCCCACGCAGCATGGGCTCGGAGTCCTGCCCCACGCCTAACCCAACAGAAAGCGGCCAGTGTTTGTCATGTCAACTGGCTCTGGAGCCGAGCGCGGCCAGGGTGATGGGGGGTCAGGGCGTGTTTTTATTGGTTGTTTTCCTTCCTTCACCCAGGATTAGCACTCAGTTCCTGCATGACTGAAGCTTCGGGCCCGAGGAAAAACAGCAGCCTTTCAGAGGTGCTGCCAAAAGAAGCCAAGCAACTTTTGTGCAGCTGAGGTGAGCAGGGATGGGCTGCTGGAGGATGCAGTGGAGCTGTAGCTGAGGATCCTGGGTGGGGGGAGTAAGGCCAACATTGGAGTCTTGGATTGGAAGGCTTGAGCTTGGAGTAGGGCTTTGGATTAAAAGCCTAGGGCCTAGAACTCTAGAGCAGAGGTGCTCAATCCTAGTCCGTGGTCTACTGCCCTGTTTCAATACACCTGGCTCTAATGTTCCTGGAAGTAACTGGATCAGGTTTGTTGGATTAAGGTTGGAAGTAAACTCTCCAGGGTAGTAGATCAACAGGACCAGCCCTTTGCTAGATTAAGATCTTAGAATCTTAAATCAGATAGATTAGAGCAGATCAGATCAGCAGGGGTGCAAATCTATGAGTCAAGCCACGTGCCAGAACCAAATCATGGGGCATCCAAAAGCCTTTGCAGGGCCAGGAAATGGGTACAGCTCATCCACAATAACAAAATAAAAATGAACAGCTAATATGGGGCAAAAAACCAGGGGACATCTGTCCAAAGGAGTTACACATTCAGGAGAGTCAACAACAGCGCCACAATTGCCACAAATCACCAACAGCCCACTCATTTAGGAAATCTGCCTAAAAATGTATCGTCCCAGAGCGCATCTTTAAAATGCAGCCAATACAAAGGTACGCATGTAAACCCACCCATATTCATCAATGTAGCCTTTTATATGAGGTGGTGTTGGTTTGATGCTGTAGAAGCATAATAGTGGATTTAGTGGGGCGTGATCATTGTTTGTGATGTATTTCTCCAACGACTGACCCTCTGACACCTTATTTTGATACACCTATTTGTGCAGTTGTGGCACATAGACAAAAAGAAACACTAAACTTTTTTTATATTTGTGTTTGAAAGTTTACTGCTGATACTGATACGGCTGAATCAGATCAAAGCATCACAATTCACTAATGCATTTTTACTCTCCCCCCTGACAGGCATCTCTAGGCTGAGTGGTCAGTTTGTCTGGGTCTTTGTGGCTGCAACACTGCAGTTTAACCAAAAGTTCAATGGAAAACACAACAAAGTCTGAGGAACACATGCCCACTCAGTTATACGCAAAAATATTGAATACATCATTTGGAGGATTCTGTGCTAGATTTAGCCATTTCCTTTCTAGGGGAAAGGATGCCTATCGTAATCAGTCTCCCTGTGGCGCTGAATTGCTTCCCCCCAACTCTGTCTCTGTTCACCAAACAAGCTTGTAGCGTAGCGCTCCACTGCCATAGAGGCGTAATTGAGCTTACAGCTGCAATCCATAACTGCATCGACTGCCTGTGTAACATCAACTTCAGCCGGTCTGGTGAGACCCTGCTGTAAGCAAATGATAGTGCCGGGTAATTGAATTTGGAAAACGTAAATATGTCTACAGGTTCACTGATTTTAGATAACTTTCCCAAGATGAAGGCTCCGGTAATTGTGGCTAACTTTGTGTATGTGTCGTTTATAATGTGGTTTCACAGAGGGGGAAAAACCGAGTATTTTATTTTCAGCTGACAGGAAATTGACTTCCCCCTGCGCAAGAAAAGGACACGAGGCCGCTGAAATCTTCGACGGCTTTGTGTTTGTTTTTATGGAGCCCCATAATGGGGCGCTTGAAGCTAATACGCAGGCTAGGCACACATCAAAGATACGCTACCCTGCTTCCCTGCCCCCCTCCAAAAATATTATGACCTCTGGAAAATTTCTTTCTGTCAAAATGCAGACAAAAGGCCAATATTGGGCAGCGTTTCCAGCCTGTGGAGACTAGCTTGGTCTCTGCTGCCCCCAAGTGGTGTGGTGGTTTTAAAGCAAAGGGGCTTAAAGCCTCTTGTCAGCATTTGTACAACAGCCTTGATGTACTGAGAGGATTAGAGTCGGATTAAGTGTATTTTCATTCTTTGAGATATGGCAGCGTCTCTTTATTCTATTCAGTAATATGTAGACCTCCTCCTTCCTCTTCCGCTCTCCGCTTGGCTAGCATATGGAACCTCAGGCTGCTTTTAAGGAAAGGCGTCTGTCAAAGGCAAAGACATGGGAAAAATGTCATTAAACTGTAATAAAGCCAGACATCCATGGTGGTATATATATGTATATATCAAATGGACAGGCGGGAGACTTTTTGGGGGGTCTTGCAAACAGACCGTTGTGTTGCAAGGAGCATGTTTTGAAACCCAGAATTGAATTATGACGGTGTAATACAAACCGCACATTGGGCCTGTATTGAGCCAAGACCTCAATAAGGCTTGGCCAAGGGCTGGGCCATGTGTCTGAGGACACTAATCTATGTCTACACCTATAGCCTCAGCATTTCTGCAGTGGAAACGCCAGGGCAGCGCCAGCTTAAATATGAGAGCCCCAGCCACAAGGCACAAGTAAGCTCAATGCAATGCTGGCCTGTTTGCTTTATGTATCTGATCGGTTTTTCTCTGCCTTGTGTTTTTCCTATGTGGGATGTCTGTGGCCAGTTGTTGGGTACAGAGGACATAGAACAGGACCACCTATGGTCAAGAATGGTGAGGTATGAGAAGCCAAGGCCTTGTTCCAGAATTCGCACCCCATTAGTTTGAGTTGTTAATTCGACGTTTGAGCAAACTGACCTGCAGTGCGTTTAGTGAAAGTGTCCGATTCACACGGTGGAGAGAGACAGCTTTTGACACGTTATGCCAGCGTGATGTTTTTGGATGCGCTCTCCACTTTTCTTAGTGAGAAGAGAAATTGGCAGAGGAATGCAAAGCAAAGAGAGGAAGAGCTTGTTTTGGGTAGAGGAGGAGAACAAGCCATAACACTCCATTATCCACAATCTCTCTCTTTCTTTCTTTTCCTCTCTTTCTCTCTCTCTCTCAGTCTCTCTCTGCCAAACCACTGTCTCTAGCTGTCTGTAGCAGCCTGTGTTCTCTCCAGGAATAACTGCTCCTCTAGAGTACGTGGGTCTCTCTAGCCAAACTCGACCTGCTTTCTCAAGGTCTGATGTCAGTTCACACGGGGTTTACGTGGGGTCACGACCCTGTACACTAATGTATCACCTTAGACAAAACACAATTACCCAGCAGTCAGCAGGGTTCAGTGGAGCTGCTTGTTCTGGATGCAGCAGTGTGGGAAGCTGGAAAAGATAAAGGCCTTTAGGAGCTCCAGGGTGCAAGCACAGTATGTGGGCCCAGTCATAGCAGTCCAGCTGAGCTGACAGGAGCTCACTGTCATGTTTGTGGGCAGTCATCACTCTGTGATCCTTTAACATGAGCTAGCAAAAAGGAATCGCTCTCCTGAGTTCACCAAAACACTCCAAGCCTTTCACCTCAATATGCTCTCCCTCCAGTGGCCTCAGTGTGTGGTTGTGTGTGTACGACAGAGAAAGTTTCAGTTCCATTCACCACGCGAGAGAACAAATTCTCAGCCAACACAAGCTCCTCTCACGCTGTTCTTCCCTTCAGTGCCAAACCAGAGCTTATAAAAACTACACCTGGCTGAGGCATTGCCTTTACTTTACTGAAGGATAAAGAGATATTTCATACCATACATTTCTATGTCATTTTGGAGTCAGATGAGGGGCTCAGTTGACCTGTTCATGCCCACCACAAATAGGTTCTTTTGCAGCACCTGTAGAGAAGTTGGACGAGCTTAACAGAGAGTTGTCAAAAATTCTAGACAGTGTAATTATTTTTGTCAAAATACCGACCTCATTAATTTCAAATGCTCTTTATTTTGTATGTGTATGGCAGGTTACACTGATTTATCCTAGCAGTGTGATCTGTGATGTAATTGAGCTAACATAAGCATGGTGGAAAATTCATTGTGTCATTACTGTTTTCCAACTGTCTAGTTTTATTTAGCTACAATCTCCTAGCTAAATAAAGTCACACAGCATTTTAAACAGGGCACTCAACATTTTGTTGTAATTTATGTTTTTTTTTTTTTGTAGGGACGTAAAGATTCACAAAATTCAGATTCAATTCAATGCGATACCGTATCTCAATTCAGTACATTTTTTGATACAGCAAAAATAAGGAGTAGCTGAAAATGTGTTATGTTAATATGTTAACGTTCCAGTTTTCGGTTTATCACAATTATATTTATGTGTTTAGCAGATGCTCATTTTCAGAGTGACTTACAATGCAACCCTTTAATGCATAAATGATTTTAAAAATTCTGTCTCGTTTGGTTGTAGGTTGCTGAATTCTGACATTCTAGTTGTCATGTAAAGTAATTAAATAATTAATCTTTTTTCTTTGTGTGTGTCTTTGTGTGTGTGTTAGTGTGGAGTCAGTGAATGATGGCTTCTTCCACTCAGTCGAACTGCTGATCCAGAATCAGACACTTAGTCTGGTGGTGGACAAAGGAGCCCCCAAGAGTCTGGGCAGGCTGCCCCGGCCGCCCGCAGTGGAGTTCAACACCAAGCTTTTTGTTGGAGGTCAGAGCCAAGCACAAACACACTCAGACACATCCCCCATTAAAGTTTAAAGCAAATTATAAAGGTGTACTAAACATGTACTTTAACATGTTTAGTGTCTGATGTTTGCTTCTTTAGTTTTGCACTCGTCCAATGCAACTAACAAGCATTAGAAGCTAATACATTGACAGATAGCATCATGTAAACACTGTGCCTAAATCATCACACTTGCCTTAAATCACGTTAAGTTGTTAAGTAATCTCAAATAGACTTGCTTATGTGGTTTCTGACACTGTATGGCGCACTATTATCTATAAAAATGGACAAAAGTATGTTGCATTGCTAAAAGCAGTAGCTGCAGCTTTCTTGAAGCCTGATTATTGTCCAAACAGACATATCTAGACAGTTTCAGGCTTTTGAAGTTGACTTTACTCAACAATCTCTAATTTTATCTTAGCAATTTTATCTTATTGCACTTTTTGTTAAAAAACAAACAGCATGTATTTTTATACCTATGGTCGGTATGATTGGTTGTTTCAGGTGTGCCCTCTGCGGTCGGCTCGTTGGGCTTGCGTTCTGGGCCTGACCGCCAGTCTCCATCCTTCAACGGCTGCATCCATAACGTGCGGATAAATGGTGAGCTGCAGGAGCTGGGCAGTGGGCTAGCTGGCACGGCGGGCATTCTTCCTGGCTGCCACTCCTGCAGTGTGTGTGCTCAGGGAGCGTGCAGGCAGAGGGGTGAGGCGGGAGTGACCTGCGAGTGTCCAACCAGCAGCAGTGGCCCACTGTGTGACCAGCAAAGCACCATCAACCCTTGCCAGAGCAGCAGGTATGGACACCAGATACACACACGCACATTCTCTTTATGTCTTGCTTACCATTAGAGCCTGTTTTCATGCTTTCTGGGGGGATTTTTTCCCCCAATAAGTTATTGTTTGAAAACTAGTTGGCAGTCTACATTTTCAGTAACACTACACTAATACACAGACTATCAAAAGGGGAAGTTTTTAAAGTGATTTGATACAAATGTCTTCATTGTCATTTTTTTTTTTAACGTTGCAGGAACAACTGACAATACAACCCTGGAAATAATGCTATACCCCACACATTTTATCTCCTTGTCACCAGCACTCAAACCCCTTAGGTGTTTAAATCAGCTTTGGGGCAAAAAATTTTCAATATGTGCTTTGAGCAAAAAGAAGAGGTGAAAAAGTAAACTGTCAGGTCATCACATACAAAACATACTGAGCAGACAACCTCAAAGCAGACTAAACCATGCAACACAGGCAAGAATTTGCATATGACCCCTCTCTCTCTCTCTCTCTATCTGCAGGTGCGTGCATGGCCTGTGTGTGGCTAAGGGCTCATCCTATAGCTGTAAGTGTGCTCAGGGTTACTCAGGCCAGTACTGTGAGAGGAGAGAGGAGCCGCTGGCCTGCAGAGGGCAGCACTGTGTACATGGAGAGTGCAGGGTGGACGAGAGTGGAGCAGCGGCATGCCACTGCCAGCCTGGCTACACGGGCCCCAACTGTGATACAGGTGAGATCATCCACTACAAACCATATTTCGCAGGATTTCACTGCAGATTATATACTACACATGAAAACAATCAGAAATCCAACTGAGCGTGCTCTCACTGTTTCTCTGAACACTCGAGACTAGACTATAGGCACATTAAGCATATATGTGCTAGAAGCACATTTAACACAGTGATAATTCACAGTCTTTAAGGGCCAAGCAGTGTTGACTTTCCACCCTCTCTTAAATGGGAGAGAAATGGGAGTAATGATACACTGACATTTCAGGGGCACCAATTCTATCTATCAGATGAGACAAAAATGGATCCATTTCACAGAGCATAATGGATTTTATTATGTAGTTTCTGACACTGTATGACATTCATATACCTATAAAGGATATTACTATTGAATGACCCTCTACGTTTGGTGTAAGTTTTCCAGTTTACTAAGAAATCCTGCATAGTGCTCAGTGAAATACACTGATAGATGTGAGGCCCAGATGTGGTTATCCAGGCTAAAGTTATAACGTGGTTATACAGGCTAACAAAAGACTATAGGCTATACCTATTAAGGAGTTAATAATAGTCAGTATGCTGAAAACAGTTGAATTATTAACATTTCCCTTAAGCTAAATGTATCAGTTCTTATCCTTGTTGCTCATTTTGTGATAGTGATGTACCATGTTTCTTCTATTTTTTATGATTCCACATTTGACTTTTCTAGTTCAGTGAATGACATTTGTGTTTCTCCTCTCGTTCTCGCAGAGCTGACCTGTCATGGGGAGACAATCCGGGAGTATCTGAAGCGTCACAATGGCCACAAGACGTGCACATCCACCAGTAGGGTGCCCAGGGTAGAGTGCCAACGCGTCTGCCACCCGGGTCTCTGCTGCACGCCCACCAAAAGCCGCCGACGGAAAGTCACCTTCAAGTGCACCGATGGAACCTCCTTCTCTGAAGAGTTGGAGACGACCTTGGAGTGCGGCTGTTCGAAATGCCCCTCATAATGATCCCCATCGTATCCCCCCCAACCCTCAGCCGGGAGGAGAAATAGGGAGAGAAGAAAATATATTGTAAAATAAATAAAAAACAAATAGAACTTATTTTTATTAAGGGATTTTTTTCTAAAGAGGAAGAGACTGTTTTTATGATGTTTCTTATATGTGTAATATGAAAAGTTTTGTATCTGAACAAAAATCACACACACACAACAGATTAACATTCCTGAAAATATATGAATTTATATATATATATAAATATATGTGTATAAATCTATATAAATGTACAACCTAACTAAAAGATTAATTTGGTTTGTTTATTGCATGTCTGTGTGAGTGTGCGAGGGGAGTTTTCGGGACACTTTAAGAGTTAAAACATGAATCAAAACGTGCCCATACTGCCAATCAGGAGAGCATTTGAGGAACCTCAGACGTGAAGAGGATCGCAATAATGTGCTCCGCTGGTGAAACAGGAACTTTTTTTTACCAGTGCCTCTTACCCAGCATGCCTTGTAAAGGACTCCATAAGGCTCACCTGCAGAGCTAATGGAACGGCTAACGGGATTGGAACTTCTTATCTCCAGAGCTCTGAACTGGTCTCTTTTTTGCGCTTCAGTTCCTTATGGTTGTTTTTTGTTGTTGTCTACATGTTGTCCCATCAGAGAGAGAGGGATCAGTAGTGTTTTTAGAAGGATGGCTCTGGATCACTGGTCATACATCAGAGTTAAATGTATTTCTCGCATAACTGCATGGAAGTATATATGATTGAATGTGAACTCGTGCTCTGTGGTCAAGCAGCGGTTAGTCCTGCTACCTGTTCGTCCTTACCTGGTACGGTTGCTCCAAACACGTCTTATCGTAGCAGTACAGACCAGCAATACAGACCGCAGTGACAGCTCTGATGGAAAGCTCTCCATACTGACGCAGTATTCCGTCATAACCGTCCCTTACTAATATATTAAACACAAATATGTTACGCCCATTACTACTGTATTTTGTATCATATACCCATTGTTGTTGTTTTTTTTTTCACAAAAAGTCAAAGTCTTACAGATGTCTGTCTTCAAAACGATATGAAATTTCCCACATAGAAAAGGATCAACATTAAATGTATGTTCTGCTATCCCAGCCCTTTTATGGAATAAAATCAGGTCTAATTATAGCTCCAAATCCTCCTCCCAGTGTTCAACACAAATGATAAATGAGCTAATGTACGATGCATTATATTAACACCTGTAAAGATAAAAACGGTAGAACTAACAGAAAGTCATTTCTGGTCGAACATGAACTAGAGAGTGATGAATAACTTACTATGAATGTTGAATTAAAACTTTTAATGAAACGTAGTTTTTTGTTTTTTGTTATTGATGTTCCAGTTATTAATGCCCAAGGACAGCTAAGTGTTTATCATATTAAGGCCTATCACTGTTCAGTTATTAATCTTAAGCCTTCTTTTTCAGTAAATATTATGCCTGTTATGCCCTTGCAGTTTTAATGAAGTATAAGGGAAGCAGTGAGATATTTTTTTGACCTTTGCAGGTTCAGAATGAAAATGAAGGCCTTCATTCATCTACATTTTGTGAATATTAAACAATTAACAACAGGGCTTGATTTAAGGGGCGATGCAAGAGGCCTCCCGCTTTCTAGTCGGAACAAATGGTAAAAATCATCCCTCTTGTTAACTCCCACCCTTTTCCACCCACTTTAGACTAAGGCTGTTCATTTAATTTCATCCATATTTGAGATTTACACACTAAGTTGCCTTAGATGTGTCCAGAGTTCTTTATGACAAACCAGTAAGCAGGGCTGTTTCTTGTTACAAGGGGTTTCTAAACAGTTTCTTAAGGGGCATCAGGGGGCACACTTGTATGTAGTCATGGGTCTATGTTTAAACTGTGAAATGTTTTCTTTACTCTTTTCATTGTAGTGGGTTAATTTTGTTAATATTAAGTTCTTGTCATGTATTCAGTTTTTATTTTTGATTCTAGTGGAATAATTTAACATGCTCAGCACTTTTTGTGTTAGCTGGGGATAATTCCATTCTGGTAAATGAAATCATATGATTGGGGTGGATGTGGGGCCCAAGTAGGGTGTTGCGTTCTCTTGTTCAGAAACTAATCCTGCAAAAACTTAAAAGAATGGTTCACTTAATCCAGAGATAGTCGATCAGCTGAGACGTGTTTGGTGTCCAGATTTGGCTTCTTTAGTTCAGCACTGGAGCTACGAGGCTAATAGATAACAAACACTATTTCTGTAAATACATCTCTCAAACCACATCCAGGTTTTTCCATAAAGGTGGTTCGGACTTGTCGATGTGGTTTGGGATGCAGTATGACTTACTATGAACTATAGAAATGAACAAAACTTCAAAGATTAGCTGACAGTTTCCATGTCCAAAATGGTCCCCTAATCACTAAACCCTACATCTGAAAATCTGCATCACCATATAGAACACTATGAGAAGAGCTTATTTACATCTGTAACAGGTCTGAAGAGAGGTCTGTGGACACAACTAAAAAGTCATAGAAAGCATTAAAAGTTCCATTTCCCATCAGAAAGCACAACCATCAGGCTTTAATCCTAATGATTCTAAAGGTCTTTTTTCAGCAGGGGAGACGTGGTAGCTGGATTTGGTAATCTTTCATTAGAGAAGTTGTGCATGAATCCTCAAACCAAACAACGCAGTGCATTATGGGTGTCCCCTATCCACTAGGGTACATTGGTTGTACACTACGTATTGCGGTGCATTGTGGAGTGCACTGGATCTTCTGCACTATGTTTTCAGACACCACTACCCTGCTAGAAAAAAATAGCATAGATAAGCATGGCTGGTCACCAGCAAAACCATCATATATTGTGTTTTGGATGCTGGCATGCTGGTCAGCAGCAATGGGAATAATATACTGGGCCACTATGCTCAAAAAAATCATAGAAACCATTAAAATATTTTGTTTCCAAAAGCCACTTATATTGTTTTGAGTTTTCATAATGAGTTGCTATGAAAGTGTAAAGGTGTTCTACAGATGCTTTACGGGAAACTAGCGGTCTATTGTAGTAATCATTAAGCCGATCCCCATTAGAAAGCACAACCATCAGGTTTTCAATCTAATGGTCTTTCTCAGCAGGGCAGCGTATGTTGTGTTTTGGATGCTGATATGCTGGTCCACCGGCATGGCCATGCAGGCTAACCAGTGAAACCAGCACTGGACCAGGATAAACCAGCTCATCTGCCTGTGTTAGTTTCGGACACAGCTAGTCATTTTAGTCAGGTGTTTTGCCGAATTCTGACTACCTTGCAGAATGTGACTTCCCTTCACCTTCACCCAGACTTATGTACTCTAGTTTACACTAATGATTTGTGTTGTTTTTTTTATATAAACATATATATATTCCGTTCGAAAATTCAAGATTTACAGTTATCAAGAAGGACCAACAGTAATCAAGAATGTAATACGTAACGTCTACGTTTTTGCCCACGTGACGTACGTGCGTGCGACGAGGAGACAGAATTCGGCACAACACCTGTTGTCTACAGTGGCTGCCAGTGGTTTTATACACGGTGAAGTTCTGTTCATATTATAGCTCTTTTTAAGCATTATATGTAGTCATACTGCGCCCTAAACCACACCGACATGTCTGCGTGACCTTAATGAAGACATAGATGAGGTTTGACCGGGTAGAGAGGTTTTGGGGATGTAGAACAGATCTGGGTGTCTATAGTTTTATATCATATATTTTATATCAAATTGGTAATATAGCTAATTGGTAGTTAGTGTTGGGGGCTGCGTACTATGCAGAGCTACACAGCGGGCTCTGTAGACTTTTTAAACAGGCAAAACAGGCAGCCTGTGATAACCAACATTAAACACTGAAAGAAGTCTGGTTTTAATAAAAGGGAATTTGAATGTGGAATCTAGTTAATTTGGCTATATCATATCACACTGATTAGGCAGTTATATTGGTAGGCTGCCTAGAGAACTAAGTTAGTTAGCTAGCTGGCTGGCTAACAAGACATAGTCTAAGTAGAAAGTGAAAATAATATTTAAAAAATGCCTCTTTCCATTCCCCATTGTTTGATCCTATTTCCTCTTAAAATTTCGTTACAGATTTGAGCAACAAACACGTCCCATTATCTGTGCACTGCAAATTTTGTATTATACTCACCTGTTAGTGTACACGCCTGTAATCTGTGTTATGCTTGTTGTAATACTTCCTGTCATCCACTAGATGGAGCAGTTCGCTTGCTTGGCTGTAGTTCTTCCTTGATGTTGGGATACTTCACTCTGCATGCTGTGGAGAGCGTCAGGTCTCCAGCAGGGGGACAGCTTCTCAGGTTTTTTTCCACACTTATGCAGGGGTCAGATACAGTAAGCAGCACTTGACAAATCACAAGCTTCATATGGCTGATAACAGGAATAGCATAGAGAATGCTAGGAGCAAACTAGATGACAGTTAATGTGAAGGTCGTTATGACTTACTAATGACTTACTAATGACTTACTAACTCCATTATCTTGGTTCATAATCCATTGGAAGAAGACAAGATGTTAATGGCATTCAGATTAAATAATGAGAGTACCCAGAACAATGGCACTATAATACCCAGCTGTATTTGAGGTTTGCCCCATGGCACATCTGCTTGTTAATTAAGACAGCTAATCTTTGCATGAGTTTGGTCCCACTGAGATTCTGTGTTTACGAAGGGACGGATCTCTCTCTCCCTTTCATGCCTTTCAAATCCTTTCAAGTCCTCTCTCATTATGTTTAGTGGCTCATCTCCGAACCCTGGCGTTCCTTCTGATACATCTCTTTGCCCTGCAGGGTGGAAAAACGGTCGAGCGCTGCCAGGGCATGTCGAGTTATTAAAAACACATAATACTTATAATTCCTCAGCTCTACACGGTATAGTCATGGATGGTAACATGGTGTTCTCTGTTGTTCTTGTAACACTGAGATGAACTGCTCAGATAGAGGATATTCAGACAGAAAAGGAAAAACACCTGAGTGCACTTATCATCTAATATTACTAGTTTATAACACTCCAGTTTAGCAATATTTTGGTTTGTAACTCCAAAAAAAAATGTAGGACCACTGGATGTTAGCAGTGTTACATGCAGGCCATGCAGAAAACAGTTTGTCATCAGGGGAGCTAACTGGTGATGCAAGGAAATGAAAATTTGTGGTTAAAATGAAATTCAAGACACACCTTTCTAAAAACCAAAACCAAACACTGAAAGATTTGCCATTTTATTTATGCTTTTGAATAGAACTACAAGGTATTTAAGAAAATACACTGTTAATATTGATAAAATCCACTTTCAATATGGACAAATAGAGCTGACAATAAATGAAAACAGTATCTATTCTTTGTACAGTATGTATTCTACAGTATGTGCCATGAAATCCAACGACCTCGACAACAGAATAGTTGGTCATTCAAGGCAATAAATTCCATTATTTAGTCAAACTTGCACTTTTGCACTGTCATTTGTGATTTTATTTATCTTTTCAAAAACCTGTGACTATAGGTGGTGTTAGCATGCTAGCGGGGACTTTTCTTTCTGCTTCTGTTGTTTTGCTGTATTCTGTGTATGGAGTGGGTGTCATGTTTTCACATGGTATCAAACCTGTAGTGGAGAAGTTCTTGGGCATTGTATGTCCTCTTCATACTCGGTACAAACAGAACCTTTAAACTGCTTGCTTCATGTCTCTCGTAAAAACAGTGAAATAGTTCCACACTGCTGACTTTTTTTTTTGCTGTTTATCTGCTGCTGCTCAAACTGATTCAACGTGCCTGTGCTCACCAGTGCAGGAGAGCGAAGCAAACAAACAGCAGTTTAAATCACTGTTTTTCATTTTGTCATTTTGTTGATTCATTAAGTATTAGATTTGACGCTTTGTTATAGTCCTATTTAATCTTAGGCTGAAAACCACACGTGTCATTTTTGGCTGAAATGTTTTAGTAGCTGAAATTTCAGTGCATCCCTAGTGGTTATACCAGTCTGCAAGCTCATCTCAAGATAC